GACTTTTCTTGCCTGTAAGTTCTCTTTGGAGAAATCAGCTAAGAGTCTTATGGCCACCCCTTTTTAGGTAACTGTCTCCTTTTCTCTTGCTGCTTTTAAGATTCTCTCATTCTCTTTAATCTTGGCTAATGTAATTATGGTGTGCCTTGGTGTGTTCCTCCTTGGGTCCAACTTCTTTGGGACTCTCTGAGCCTCTTGGAATTCCTGGAAGTGTATTTCCTTTGCCATATTGGAGAAGTTCTCCTCCATTATTTATTCAAAAAAGTTTTCAATTTCTTGCTCTTCCTCTTTTTCTGGCACCCCTATGATTCGGATGTTGGAATGTTGAAAGTTGTCCCAGAGGTTTCTGAGCCTCTCCTCATTTAAAAAAAATTATTTCTTCTTCATTCTGTTCTGGTTGAATGTTTATCTTTTTTCCTTCTGGTCCAAACCATTGATTTGACTCCTGGTTTCCTTCCTGTTATTGTTGGTTCCCTGTATATTTCCCTTTATTTCACTTTGCATAGTTTTCATTTTTCCCTTTATTTTGTGACCATACTCAACCAATTCTGTGAGCATCCTGATCACCAGTGTTTTGAACTGTGCATCTGATAGGCTGGCTATCTCTTCATTGCTTAGTTGTATTTTTTTCTGGAACTTTGATATGTTCTTTCATTTAGGCCTTTTTTTTTTGTCTTGGGTCACCCTTATGTAGTAAGGGACAGAGCCTTAGTGTTCACCGGGACAGGGCAATCACATCACTGTGTTGTGACACTATGTCAGGGAGGAGTCCGAGAGCAAACAGTGCTGCTTGCTCTGTTCTCTGCTGGCTTTCAGTCACTTTCCTCACTACCCACAATCAAATTGAGCCCTTCTGGTGCTGATACCCAGTGGGTGGGTTTTGTATATTCTAGGACCTTGTGGGTCTCTCCAATGAATTCTCCTGTGAGTCTGGGAGTTCCTTCCATGGCCACTTCAACTCCCATAGGTGTTTTTAGTTGGAGGCTTTGAGGCTTTATTTCACCTGTGCAGAAACCCTGGGTTGAGTGCTCTGTCTCGCTCCCCAGTTGTTCCTCCTGGTTTATCTGCATGCAAATGTGGTACCATCCAGTCTGCAAGCCGCCACCTTTTCCGCCCCAGTCCTCCAGCTGCTGCCTTAAGAAGTGAGGCTTCTTCTGCTGGATCTGCATGAAGGGGGCAGAGACATCTGAAGGGACAGGGGCTGACTATTTTCATGTTAAGTAAAGAGCCTCTCGTTAAGGCTCTTTGTTTTTCTTTGTTTTTTTTCTTAGTATACAAACATGTGTTTACCACTTGTTAAGTAAATGAGTCCTCTTCACCTGGCTGCCTGTCTCCGCCCCGCCTACCAGTTTGGATGAATGTTTCTTCTTTAACTCCGTGGTTGTTGGATTTCCATACAGTTAAAATTTCTGTCAGTTCTTGTTGTTTTTGTTTTTAAATTTGTTGTTGTCCTAGTTTTGATTGTGCAAGAAGGCCCAGTGTGTCTACCTATGCCTCCATCTTGGCTGGAAGTCCTGGGCAATTGCACCTTTTATCATTTTCGTTATTACACATAATATGTTGCCATAGAACCCTTTGTGCCTCCATAATAGTTATTTTATCTTCCTACAAAGTAGTGAATAAGAGAGAAGTAGAATAATCAATATCACGTATTTTTCTATTTTGCGCTCATGTTAAACCATAGACTGACATTTTGAAATTAGTCTAGCACAGACTCTAGCCCAGGTGGAAGGTGCTCTTTACTTAACATGAAAATAGTCAGCCCCTGTCCCTTCAGATGTCTCTGCCCCCTTTATGCAGATCCGGCAGAAGAAGCCTCACTTCTTAAAATCCAAAATGAAATTCTTGCACTTTCTCTTTAAAATCTAATTACACAGCTTTCTTAATAAAACACACAGGGCATATTTCATCTGTTTTTGCCTTGGCATGGCTTTATTTCTATTTAACACTTTGGTGTTATTTTTTTTAATTTCTGTACTTTCTATATAAACTTATCTTTTAAATTCAAACAAAGCTCCAAATTGTAAAATTGTCCCTCAAGTTCAAATTAATTTTATTGTTATAAATTTACACTTAAAAATAAATGGTATTTATGAAAGACATCTGTTAAATACCAAATCACTCACACCTTATGTTAGTTTCTTTATATTTTTCATCCTTAATTTTAGTATGTCAAAGCCTAAGTGATGAAGGGCTGACAAATCAATAATAATGAAGAAGATCAGTAAGACAAATGGGGAGCATACAGACCAAGGCACAAGGTGGTTGAGCCTTTTTACTGTTCAGTAGGTAGCATTAATAGTGTAGAAACTAGCAGATCATACTTCAAAACAAGTTATATTACTTCAAAACAAGTAATAAAAATTACTTATCTAAATCTCAGTTTATGCTTTTTACTTCCAATCTATTTTATTGTTATGGATATTTCAATATTCTGGCTAAATAAAATAAGTCATAGTGTCATAAAGAGACAACCCATATTCAGTGAAAGATTAAATTCATAGTTAAAGTACATTGACTATAAATTGAACAAAAATGATAACCAAAATAACCTGTATTTATATATACATATCCATATGTACATACATATTCCTTAATTATAATTTATATTTCTTTCATAGTTTGTTATTTTGTGGTTCATCTTAAAGTACATTAATGTGCAACATAGTGGGAATATTTTCCCTCTCTTTTAAAGCTAGTATTAACTTAATAGTTGGCCTTACAATCAAGGACCTCTTAGAATAATTAAGATAAACAATAAGATACTGAGTATTTTCTTTTCTCTGCTAGTGTATTTTCTGTGGTAAACACATGGCTGTATACTAAGAAAAACAACAAAGAAAATCAACACTATGAATATAATTTCACCTCTTTCTTTGATGGTGTTAAAAAGAAGACAATGGACCCCACATGGAAATGCTTAGGCTAAGCCCCAAGTCACCAAAGAGACTTAATTAGTTTCACTTCTCCCAGAAATGGAACCTTAAACCAGTCAAACAGGAAACACCTGACCAGTAAAACTGAGGCTATCTGCCTGATGGACTGACTCCCTGCCATCCCCTAAGAAGAGTGACCTTGTAATAATCAACCCACTTCTCTGCCCATAAAAGTCTTTCTTACCCTGCTCCCTCCTGCCTATAAAAGTCTTTCATTTTGCACAGCTACTTGAAGCCCCTTTCTTTCTGCGAGATTGGATGCTGACTAATTTATGAATCATTGAATAAAGTCAATAAGATCTTTAAAACTTACTCAGTGATTTTTGTTTTTTAACAGTGAGGTGAGAGCGAGGACAGTTTAAACTTAAGAGTTTTTTGGCTATCTATTTTAAATATGAAATACTTTACAGACCTAGTAGAAAGTGTGTAGGTTCCCATTAAGAGTTGTGGGACTAAAAAGAGAGGGCTAGCCTCCAAGATCTGGAATCAATGGAGGACTCTGGAAACACCAATGGGACAAATGAAGTCTAAAAGTGGAAAATGTGCTCAAAGACCGGTGGCAGGGGAGCATCCAGGGATGCTCCCTGGGGAAGCACGGAATTTTTCATGGAAGTTGTACACCCAAATGTTTTCTTAATGTTAGAAAAAACCCTAGAAACTATAATCATTAAACACTTTCATAAAGTAGGATGGATCTCAAAATGTAATAGACTTGACACAGAACATCTTGTTATAAACCTAGCAGTAAGACAAAGTGAAATAACATTCCTCAACAAAACAAATAAAACAGAGAAGCTATACAGAGCAAATACATGAAAATTTTCTTTTAGGTTAGACTTGATAAAGTGCCTTGCATGGAGTCTGGCTAGTAGATGTTTATATGTATATGATAAATATTGAAATGGCCAAAAACTTCTTTTGATTTTTTTTCTGTATGATACCTCTAGAGCGCTTGGTTGTCTTTAACTTAATTTGAAATTATTTTGTTAGATTGTATTGTGACTGCTGTCATATCAGCACGCATTTTAAAAAACTTACCAAAATTGGTGAATTTTTGTGTGGCCATTTTAATATCAAAGGTGGAAGAAAATACACAACATTTTTGGCATATTATGCTTTATTATTTTAAGAAAGGTAAAAACACAACTGAAATGCAAAAAAATATTGTGCTATGTACAGAGAAGGTGCTATGATTGATTGAACGTGTCAAAAGTGGTTTGTGAGGTTTTATGCTGGAGATTTCTCGCTGGAAGTTGATAGTGATCAAATCAAGATGTTAATTGAGAACAATCAAAATTACACCATGCTCTTGGAGATAGCCAACATACTCAAATTATCCAGATCAATAAAGTTATTGAAAAATGTGCTTTTTATTTTATGGAAAAAAACTAAACAAACTTTTTGGTCAACCCAATATATCATTTCATCAGTACTAACATTATTTATGCCATTGGCTCAAGCATTACTGAGTATTGTGAATTTCACATATATTTTGCTTTAGAAGTTAGTTAAACATTAATGCACTCCCTTTTTAAAACACGTAACAGCTATGTGCACTTTCAAACCATCAGCTGTAATAAGTCATCTTGTATAAACATAGTTTCCCAGCATAATCAAACTCTTCAGTAACTTGCCTTTTCACCCCAGGGTCTCTGAAGACCCTGCCAGGGAGAAAAAGCTCCAGAGCTCTGGTTTTTTCCCCCTATCCAATGTTTATTTTTAATTTTTTTCTTTTTCTCTCCTCATTGAAAAACAAGCTGTGTGGTGTTCAAAACTCAGTGTAAATTCTGATTCCCACTCAGAGAGGGTAAGGTGAACCAGGGCCCTCCCACATCCTTTATATGCCTGCAGGCTCCTGCTGTAGCTCTAGGAGGGCAGGTACTGTTCTTCCCTGCAGATTATGGGGCAGGAGTTGTGCCACTGCCACCTGGGTCTCTACTGGGACCGAGTCGGAGGGTCCCTCCCAGGGCATAAAGCTTGCACAGCTGGTGTCTAAATCAGGCAGACACAGCGAAAGAAGATGTCAAGGAAGAGGTAGGAGGAAGAGAAAACTGGGGCCCTTACCTGTCTGTCTTCTGCTCCGGCCTGACCATAGGGGACAGCGTCAGCTCAGGGCTAACCACTCTGCTGGATCACCGCAACCGCGTGTGCAGCTGCTGCCAGCTGCTCTCTCTGCCAGCAGGGCTATAAATAAGGCACGTCCAGAGCACAGGAGATAAGAAGTCAGCCCCTTGCTCCCACCTGCCTTGTAAGGTATTCAGATGGGAAGGGGCTGCCAGCTCCGCATTCAGCCTGCCTGTCTCAAGGACATCCCAGGGCTTGCCCATATTCCAGCCATCCAAAGGGCAGCAAAAGGGGGGCAGTCACAGAATGAGGGAGGAATCTCACATTGTCAGACAAATGGCAGAGCCTCCAGGCAGGCTGCCTGCAGCAAGTCCTTCAGATTAGGTGGCTGGCACCAAGGCACAGAAGCAGGAAGAAAGTAGTCCCAGGCCACCCAGCACCTCTGCGGGGCGATAGGGATTTTCAACACTGCCTCTTGGAAAGAGCAGGCTGGCCCTGCTGCCCTGACTCCAGATGCATTTGCTTGGGTGAAAAAGATTCTAGGGAAGATGAAGGGGTCGGTTTAATAAACTCTGGGCATACAGGAAACCAGAAGTGGAATGCATTTACAGAAATTCCTCTATCTCCCATCTCATGTATGCTTATGAGGGCTTCTTGAGCCATAAATCATTTTCTCTATAGAATTAAAACAGAGAAATCTTACTAAAGCCTTTTAAAACCATATGCTTGAAGAGGAGAGAAAAGCCTGATTTGGGGGAACAACAATCCCTAATCACCCTTAGATTTCTTATTTCTCAAATTTTTTATTTCTGAAAGTCATCTGCTTGGTGGTAGAGGTGGGATGGGGAGGATAGCCAGGGCCAGGTGCTCTAGAGGACTATTTGGCAATGGCTGTTTGCATTATCACAGCAGTTCCAAGTCCAGGAATTTATCCTCAGGAAAAAATCATGAATGTGGGCAGAGATATAGCTAAAGGGGCCTTTCTTGCAGCTCTTTTAATAATTGGACCAAGTTGGAAAACATCTAAATGTCTAACAACAGAGACTGGTTAAGTAAGGAATAGTGTAGCCACAAAGGAAACATTGAAACCTTTAGAAACATCGTAGAAGAATATTTAACAATATGGAGGCAATATTATAATATATTGGTAATAAAAAAGCAGGTCACTCTATGGGGAAAATAGTGCTTAATAATAAGTTACCACACCATGTAGCCCATAAATATACTTTGAAAGGATATGTGCAAATGTGAAAATGTGGTCATGCTGGGGTGATAGGATTTAGGCTGATTTCATTTTCTTCTTTGGCTACATGTAATCTCTAAATTATTTACAGTGGTCTTGTATTTCTTTTATAATAAGAACATTAATTTCATTTAAAATCTAAGTTTCCGAGAGTTAGAACAGGGCTTTCTGTGTTTCTGTATTAATGAACCCAAATTTGTTTTAGTATTACAGAATGTCTTAGGGTCTCTCCAGTCTTTGGAAAGACCTACATAGGTCAGCAGCTTTTTTCATGCCAATATCAACAATATAATGTAGCAATGTCAACAGAGTCCCTGAGTGCCTCTGTCAAGGTCAAGGTCAATGTCAGTCAAGGAGAGAGAGAGAGAGAAGGAAAGGAAGGAAGGAAGGAAGGAAGGAAGGAAGGAAGGAAGGAAGGAAGGAAGGAAGGAAGGAAGGAAGGAAGGAAGGAAGGAAGGAAGGAAGGAAGGAAGGAAGGAAGAAATTGTGAAGAGAAAAAAGAAGGAGAAACAGAATAAGAAAGTTTAGAATAGGGGTGATAGAACATGACCATAGTCCCAAATCACCGTTACCTGACCTAACACACCCTAATTCATGCTGTGACCAGGTTATAACAAAGGCACTTACTTAAAAGCTATGTGTGTTCTAAAGATGAGCTTCTTTTGTATTGTTTTTGATTTAACTAATGACCTTCAAACCTGACCGTATAATAGAGAGCACATTTTATAGGCTGTGTAATTGGAAGAGGGACTCCCTCCCCCTGGGCCACCGGGGCTGCTGGCACAAGGGCCCCCAATCCTCTACCTGACTCTCTTTTGAGGCAGAAACTAGAGTGGGTTGCCTCCTCTATGAAGAGGGCTTGGTCTAAGGCCGAGGGTAGTTTCGAAGCTTTTGGGTTGAGCTACTATTACAGGAGTGGGGCTCTAGAACAGATACCACTCAGGGGCAGAGCCTGGAGGCTGAGGCTGAGCAGCTTTCTGGACTGTGCTTTGGAACTTTCAGAGCCAAAGCCCTTCTTGGATGGTCCCTCTCAAGCCTGCCTAAGCACCTACCTCGGATTTCAGCCATCTTACAGACATGTGCTCTTTAAATGCCTGCTGAGAAGGGGTGACTCTAGCCTCATGTCAGCCCCTGTGCATGGGGTGGGGTTTCCCTGAATGAGGGAAGATCATTGTGGGGAAGGGTTGAATGGAGACTCTTCTTGGAGGAAGCTGGTCCTGGGCAAAGAACTGGGGTGTTCACATAATGGGGGGCCTCTGTGATGTCAAGTGTAAGGGTGTACTAGCCTGGGGGGGGCTCTTTCTTGAGCTCCAGGAACAGCTCTCAGAAGCATCCCTGGGTGATCCCTTTCTCCACATCAGCTCCCAACCACTGCTTGCACACAGTGTGGGGTGTGGGGGTGGATACACATGAGGGACTCTGCCTGCTGACTGCTACCCCTAGAGCAGACACATTCGAGCAGGAGTGGCATTTGCTTTTGGGGGCTGTGGCCCAGAATTCTGGGCGATGGTCAGGACTGGGTGTGCTCAGGAGAAGACTAAATGTGGCTGTGGCACTTGCCTCTTTTCTGCACTATCACAGAGGAATAGGCAGACAGGCATTTCTTGGTCTAGCTTTCAAAAACTCAAGAGACCAGAACTGAAGGACATACTGGTCTGGAACAAACATCTTGATTCTATTCAACAAATATGTTTTGAGCCCCTACTAGGGACCAGAAACTGGTCAGCAAAGGATAGCAAGATATGGGGACCCCCAGCTGGCCCCTGAGCTTCAGGAGTTCACCTCTGGCTGCCTGGATGAGGACATTCCACCATTGCCAGCACTTCAGCTCTCCAGGCCTGTGCTTGTAGGCATTTTGTTCATGGGATTATGAAACCTACTTGTTCATTCATCAGTACTATTCATTTTTTTTAAATAAAAGAATGAATTTATTAAACTTCTTCCATGTGCCAAGCATTATGGCTAGATCCTGTCCCCTGAGGCCTGAGCAAAGTAGAAGAAACCTCACCTCAATGAGCTTACAGTCTGTTGTGTGCTGTAGTCAAACATCATGTGAGCAGGAGCCTCTTACCTTGAACCTGGCACATCTTCCTCTCCTGGTCACTGTAAATGCCATTTACTGCTGCGCTACCATGGTCATCTTTTTGTGTGTTTACTGTCATAAATGCTCCTTTCTCTGGGGGTAGGCAGCCTTAATCTTTCTGTGAACCTGGCTCTGTACTTCTGGAACCTGCAGGAGGTGAGTTGTAAGTGGGATGGGTGCCTCCCCAGCCACCTGAGTGCAACACTGGGCCCTGTTGTAAGCCTGGCTCAGGGAGTGTGTGTTTCTCATCTGCCACCAAGGCCAGCAAGGCCCACCTTAGCCAGGTGCCTCCAGAGAAGCCTTTTCTTCCTCATCCTCCCTGGAGTGGAAGGCACAGGGGGCTACTGCAGCTGTCCCTAGATGGAGGGAACTAGTCTCCTTTACCCCAAACAGATTTTCCTTTGTTGGATTTTGCAGATTCCATGACAGAGGAAGACAAGCTGGGTGGGGAGCCTGAGAAGGACAAGCAGACAGCAGGAGAACTCTCTGAGAGAACAGAGTTTCAGAGAGGACAGTTGTGGAACAGCATTAACTCTTGTAGGCCAATGGCCCTGGCCAGGTAGCTCAGTTAGGTAGTGTTATTCCCATTTGCCAAGGTTGCAGGTTCCATCTCTGGTCAAGGCACATACAAGAAGCAACCAATGAACACATAAATAAGTGGAACAACAAATCAATGTCTTTCTCTCTCTCTCAAAAAATCAGTAAAATAAAAAAAAAAAACCCACTCTTGTAGTACAAACAAGATGAGAATGAAGGAAAGCCCTGTTCTCCACGGGGACATCCTCAGGGCTAAAGCCCTATGTGTCAGGGGTGCACAGGAGGACTAGGTTATGAAATGTGCCTCCCACTGAAAGTCCGTCCACAGAAGCCTGGAGGACAAGTCCACATTTGCTGCCATGTTCTCGTTTTCAAATGAATGCCTTTCATGGTCTAACTACTCCATTTACTGAAATCTCTACATAAACATTCCTTCTGCACTTCCCATAACAATAAACAGGCAAGAATGGTTGCATAAACATCCAATAGTGTAAACATGTCTGTGAACAGCTCTGGAAAATTTCAACCTGAAAAACAGCATCACCCTTTGTTAGTGTGACAGAATCCAGGCATCTCTTCTGTTTTGAACTTGGCTTATGCTGAACTAGTTCGGGTTATCACACTTACAGGAAGAAAGCAAGTGAGTGCCAAAGACTGGGGACAGTTTTGCTCAGTTAAGACCCCCTGGATCCAACACATCGCTCTGCAAGCCACATGCCAAAAATACACAAATGCAACACCACCGTATGCCAACAGGTACACATCATTCCTTGTGCTCCAGATACTATGCTCTCTGATTCTCTCTCCCTTAAATCCCTAGCAAATCTTCTGTTACAGTCTTCATCCTCACCAATTCTATTATTAATACCTAAAGCTAGTTGTACATCAGCAGGTCAAAATGTCCAGTCAAAGGGAGGAAACTAACTGGCGACACGTCCAACCTCAATTAGAAACTGAGGACGAATTTGGAAGGACTGTGCCTTCCTAGTCCCTCAGTTTATACATGAAACAATTCCCAGATATGTCCCTTCTGTGCTGCAGTTAATGAATGGGCTGTAAGCAAGACTGTAATTCTAGAACCTTTTACACTGAACCGTGTGGTGCGGCCATTGGAGATGCCAGGGTTCCTGGAATAGAAGGGCTTGGGGGCCTCTGTTTGTTCCTTTTCCTTCCTCCTTGCTCCCTGCCCAGGTGACTGATGTAAATGAGTACAAAGGGACCCTCTGTTTTCTGGATTCCTGGTTGGGTTTAGCCAGGGGAAGGAACCAGCAGGAGATCAGGTGGAAGGAGTGAGACCCTCTTTGCAGGACAGCTGCAGGTTGGCTGTGTCTCTCCATGGGAGGGCCACAGTGACGTTTGGGGCCCCTCCCCAAGCTCTGGGAACAGTTTC